ACTTGGACACTTTTATATCTTTGTATATGCTCCTGTCAACACGCAACATTACTGAAACCCATACACAGAGCCTGCACCTATAACACAGTTTGTGTTCATTTAACTGTCAAGTACTGTATTGATAACAGTCTGTTGGGGTTGATTATTATCCTCCACAAATGTTTAATAATATCTAATCAAGCAATTTGTTYTCCTATGTTTATTTTAAACATCTGTTTCTCTACCTTTTTGACTTTTCTTTCGTTTTAGAAGAATGTTCATCATTTAAAACTGAAGCATATTCCCCCGCATACATAATGTACCAAAAATTATTTCCAGTGACAACAGAGCAGTGATCAAACACCAAAATCATCCTAACAGATGTTAGACACACAGCTCTTCGGCTAAAGTGTTGAGTAAACACRCCGCAATATGTTTGCTCCCAGGACAGAAGACTGGAACCATATATGAAAATATGCCAATGGATCTTCTTTAATGCATGCAAATAAGGTCTGGTGTCCTCTCGCTTTCCCGTGGACTGTCAAACCTGCACTCCTGTGCAGAACAGCTCGAAACAGGCTCGTCCATCTCTCGAGAAATGCACATGAGTGTGCAAGAGGCAGCAGGGTGCATTTCAATTACCTTTGCCAATAAGAAATATTCTGATCCTCCTTTCCCCCCCTCGCCAGCAGCAGCCCGGGATACATGCAGCAGAGTCGGTACAACAAACCACGGCTCAGTAAAACATACACAGCTTGACAGCAGACAGTGGATGGCACATTACCTTCGTAGAGAGCGCCGATGAAATGGCAGGTGATTCCTACTGTACGAGGGGCGGGTGTGGGGGGGTGGGACAGGGAAGCAGCCAGCAGCAGAACCGGGACGATGGCTATGGCAGCTATGTTGCATAAAATGGTTCATCAGTGCTCGGCAGAAAGAGGCACAGCCAGGCAGCTCAAGGAGAGAGAGAGAGAGGGGGGAGACAGCCAGAGAGCATCGCTCAGCTCAGCTACAGAGGCTGTGCAGCAGAGCACACACACCAACACGCCCCCTTGCTTTCTCCCTCACTTTCACTCTCTCTCTCTCTCTCTCTCTCTCACACACACACACTCTCTCTCTCTCTCTCTCTCTCTCTCACACACACACACACACACACACACTTAGTCACACAGACTCAAGCATGCAGGGATGCAGAGGCAGTGCAGTGTGCAGCAGCACTGAGCAGCTCTCCCTCTCCAGGATGCCTTCGGTCTTCTTAGATCAGAACTGGTCATTCTCTGTCTTATTCTCAGCAGTCACAGACGATCCAGTCAATGGACGCTTCCAGGAACTTTTCCCAACGCTCTGCCTGCTCACCTAACCGCCACTGATGAGCGTCCATGATTGAAAGTGGCAAGGTCACATGAGGTCCTCTGGCAGTCCCCCTGGTCTGTGCTCCCAGTTTGGTTGCAGTGCCTCTCAGCTCCTCTGTTCTGCAAGCTGACACAGGGACAGAGAAGCCGTGCCTCGTCATGGGTCATTATGCCACACAGGCTCCCTGGAGGCTGGGCTTGTCAAACCCTCACTCACTGCACAGTGGGCCAGACCAATCAGCTATCACAAACAGCAGTAACATCATTACCATCCAATCTCAGATCAGGAAAGTGCAGAAGGGTATTAAAGAGGATTATTTGGGTCATCCTGGTGGTTTTTTTTTTCCACTATGAAGAAAAAGGAGAGGAGTACAGCGTGTACAGTGTGGCTGCCCTCTGTGGCTGACAGCGGTGCTGCACTCTGCTCTGAGATGWAGCACAGAGGAGGAGCAGGGCCCAAAACAAATATGCTTTCCCGATTGTTGACGCCTAGCAACCAAAGCAGCTCCTTACCTCTGTACCAGTGGGACGCTCTGTGCAGTCCCAGTCGAGAGCTTATATTGCACCACATCTGTTAAAGACTCACGGAGCCAGAACATCCCACATGATAGATGTGAAAGAATCCCACCCGTGTCATCTACCTGCTGTGGAAACGCTAAACAGGAAGGAGCTAGGTTCTGACAAGCAGCAGGAGAAGCGCCCGAAGTTTTCACGTTAACCTCTCTACAACCATGAATAAATTAAAAAGATTTAACTCACGTATTTTCTCCCCACTATGAAAAGCAGACTAGATGTGCTCGTCCTGGGTCGGTTCTTTGTACTCTACAGTGCTGCTGCTGATGCCCCAGTACCTTAGCGTATTAAAAGAACCGAAACCTGTGCCGACAGCTGTCAACAGATGTCAGAGGGCAGGACAGGAGCTCCAGGCCTGCCTCCGCCACACTGACTCACACACATGTGGAGATGTAAACAACTGCTTTGACATTGCCTTTAGTGGAAAGTTCTGCGTGTGAAGTACAAACAGAGTGTTGCAACAAAAATAATAATAAAAAAACACAAAAAGCTGAGCTTTTATCTGGGAAAAAATGAAATACTTGTGCAAACAGGCATTTTTTACATTTTGACATGATACTAATTTAGGCTGAGAAGCCGGAGGTCAGATTGTTCTCATTTTCTGCATCTTTCTCCTAAAAAGAAAAGCATAAAAGCAGGTCTTAATTACAACAGATGAGTGACACTGACTTCAGCCATTGAGAACGACAGCAGGTCCAGCCCTAAYTCCTGCTGTTTGATCGAGAAGTGACTGACTACCAAAGCCGTGTCTCAGCTCAGCACTTCTTATTTCCACATCCTTTGCCGRACTTTCAGCAGAACCATCCATTATGCAAATACGAGTCGCACAAAATCAGTGTCTCTTTCATCAGATCCTGGATTATTTTCAAGAGGCTGACAGACAATGGCAGCATTTGAGAACAAATTCCTGCTAATGTGTTTGCAGAAGCCCAAAAGAATTGAAGCCTTTCAATCGTTTGTACCRACAAAAATGCCTCTAAGCAGAATCCTGCACCGGCAGAGCTCTTTTTTTCGAGATCGCAGCTAAATCTAGTTAAAGAACAATTAAAGGGGAGTATTATATATTTCCTAGACAYACAGTTCAATTCTATACCACAACTAAGTAACTATGTTACCTTTGGTTGTTATGAAAATGCTGTATATATCAAAAATAAATTTGTCTTTGCATCATAAAAACRCCTGGAAATAGGCCTTTGTCTCTTTAAGAACTTCRTGTAKAAAAAGAAGCAGCATTRTGTAATATCAGTTTTGGAAAATGGCAACTTAGGATACAGTTGAATCTTACTCAAATGRTCCTACATCAGACCCATATATTTTCTGAAGAACTGAAGYGAGTACAGACTCTTATTTCAGCTTGGTAATACATTTCCCAGTCATCATACATGTACAAAAAAAGTTAAGTTACTTTTAATGAAGAATCTATAAACAGAAGTTTTATGAAGCTGTGATTTGTTGTAAGTATTAAAAGCTCAACAGATGTGCAGTTCCACCAGGTGTCTGCTAATTGCTGTTGCWGCTAGTGGTGGAGCTGTGTGGGGCAGGAGCTGCAGACTGAGCTCCAGGGAGGAGCTTTGTACAAATAGGTGGTGCTTTGTACCARCAAGTGTTTAGGCAGCTCCACATGGCTACAGGAGAATCAAAGATTTCTCAAACATGCAYGATTGAGTCAAAGCAACACTCTGGRTATGTTTATGATGAGGGAATGACATAACATGYCGATTTTGAATCTAACCCCCCGTAAAAAAACTCCTGTCCTGTTATAAATGTGTTACAACATAACTCAAACTGTATATTCTTCCTATTCTTATCTATGTGTTTTTGAACATGAACATGAAAACACTCATTGTAGCTCAGTAAATGAAATAGATTGATCAGCATGATGTATGAATGATGAATGTGARGGTTGTTTTCAGCAAACACAGATTCCTGTTTTCCCAAATAATACTGTCCTCTAATAGTTTTGTAATTTTACACAYGTTTTCCACTGTGGAAGATAAAACTTAATCACGTTTTGCTGAACCTCGAAGTCTGCCGTTTATCATCCAGTATTGGTCGACCAAGGATATTGGATTTGTTAAAAATAAAATCAGTATTGACTAAAACAGTTTTCCTACCTGTTGAGTGTGCAGTTTAATTGCTGCACTGTTGATACACAAGCAGTAATTTCAAATTTTTGTTGTCTCAGGTGGACTTTCATATTCGAGTCTATTGTTCARAAGACAGTAATTCCAGTAGCTAATGATACCATATTTTGTTTTAAAAAAGAACAAGATACTTWGCTTCATAGCTCACCTCGGTGTGCGTTATTTAAAGGGATAGTTTAGCTTTTCTCAAGTGAGTTTCTGCAGGAAGGTTATGGATAATTAGCATCTTACTTGTGTACAAAAAAAATAGAGAATAGAGATATCTGTGGTGTCAGTGGGTTTTGCCTGTTTAAAGAAAAGATAATTAACTAACTTGAACTTGCAAGTGAATTACTGTGCATTGTGAAATTGATGGTGAAGTAAAGGTTTATAAAATAGCTTTGCATTGCATGGCTATAATAGTTTTAAACCTGAGCTGTTTTAAGATGACAAAAATCCATTTTGGGCTTAGCTTCTTTTGAACTAGTCGTTAGCTTGTTAGTCTTGTCAGAGTTAAACAATTTCACCATTCTGTACTTAAAAAAAAGAGCTGAATAAACTCCTAAAGTTTGTTATAGCTAGTATTTGGTCTTATTATAAATGTATTTATACAATGGGCAAAAGCTAGGTAAAATAACAAACAGTCAAWACATTTTTCCACATATTTAGCTGTGGCTGAAAAGTTTGCTGAAAAAGAAAAGCTTAGTGACATTTTGCTTTACTTTATAAAATGCATCTTGCAAAATGGCACATCAAATAATTTCCYGCAACATAAAAATAACAAAAGCAGTAAATGCAGTCTATGGCTGCACAAGATCCTGATAGTGACAATAAAAGCCTTGGTTCAGAGTTGGAGGTTAAGGTCAGATTATGACTCCGGGCATCAGCTGCTGCTAATCCTGCCTGTACCCACACACACACACACAGTCAAATCAATTCCCTGAAAGCTTAACAAACAGTGCACTACGCTCACCTTATCTGGGCCTCTCATCCGATTGCTCTTCTTTGTCGTGGCCAACCTTTGTTTCTGGTTTACCGCCACTTCCTTGTGGGGTCGCAGGAGTTTCTCCACCTTGCAGATCTTCTGACAGCCCATTGTTCCCTGGCGCATAAAAACAGATAAGACGTGCATCAGTCACATTATACACGTCAGCGACATTTCCTCTTTGATATGAGTAAAAACACACCATGACTCAAGAGTTTGCATGTTTCCCCCAACGCTCGTCATGGTTAGCAGTGCGGGTTGATGTCATAAATCCAGCATRGTCAGATTATAAATATCTGTATTCAGCAGAGTTACGTAATAAAGGATGTTGGATTACTGTCAGTACATGGAGACACAAATGATGCCACAGCTGCCACAGGAAATACAAATACCACAGACACTCAAATGGACTTCTGTTTTTTATTCTAAAAACATATAATTTAATTATTAAGATTATTGGGAATATAGTGAAAATTTTACATTTAATTATGTAAAGAGATGTAACTTTCCTTTGCAACAGTAGTGTTTTTTGTTTTATTTTGTTTTGAACCAACTGTGACGTTTAAACTGTACCTTTTTTACTGGCTCAGATCTCTAAACTGGAGCTTTTATTGATCTTATAAATGTAATTTCCAACAGCTGGGGGCCTCATGTGACTACAGACTCATGACCCCCTACAGTGGTCCAGTCATCTAAAAACAGTTTCCACTCTGTCATCTATGACTGCAATACAAAACACACCATTAGCTATAGGGAGAATTTTATCTGCTGTCAGCTCCACTTTCAGTTAAGCCAAGCCTCTACAGTGCAGTTCAGTTCATTATAATATCAGTATTAATAACGTATAACATATACAATACATTTTTTTGCAAATAAGTGAAATTTCTCAGCTTATTTCCTACAAATTCTTTATGTAGTTTTGGTAAACAATTCATTGACAATTAGTATACAATTTTCAAATAAAGTGAATGAAAGAAAACTTTGTTCAGTTACGCCATTTAGATGCTGTCTCTCAAAAATGGTTAATATGAGGGATCGGAGTTAATGCTTAATTTTAGGTACTGAGATCAGGGATAGGCTGTCTAGGGCTAAATGAAGTTCAGTTTAGGTTCTGGGACGGTTAGTTGTCATGCATTTCTTACTCTTTTCAAAATTATGACAACAYGCTCCTCCTCTCGTTAATAACTGACACGAGGGGGGTACGCAGACGGTACCTGACCAAGCGTCACTATGTGACGAGTTGGGAGTGAAAATGGATTGGTCTCTCATCCAGTTGTGATGTCAGATCCATGGTGTGATGACCCAACAGCAGTCTTACAACTGCGTTAAAATGAGGATTGTTGAACAACCTGTGAAGTTGTACTTTAGTATCAGTTCAAATAAATAATCTTGTAGCATCAAATTATCAGCAGCAGGATGTTAAAACGGTTGTGCAAATGAATATATGATGAACTGAATCTGTACCAAATTTCCCTCTGGGATCAATAAAGTATTTTTGAACTGAACTGAATTGAATTAATGGCTGCATTGACAGATTTAGTTGTCACAGTGACCCAAAAGTCATCATGGACAACTTACTTCATAAACACAGAGACACACATGGCTGTCTACAGCAGGTGTTTGAAAAATTATGAGAAAATTAGTAAAGATCTGGAATGGAAAATGGACATTGCATGTAAGATCATGACTTTTTTTCTCATAATGTGACTTTTTTCTTGTAATAAAAAATATACARTATATTGTGTGGCCCAAATACGCTGTCGTAAAATATTTTGCAGTACTGTTTGTTTTTATTATTACTTGACATTATTATGTGGTGAAGAAGAAAAATCTTCACAACTTTGGCATTTTAAAATATATGCAAATAATAAAAAAAATGAGCGCATTCAAATATAGTCAGTAATACTCACTGGAGAAATAATTTCTAAATGTAARAAATCTATCCATCTTCTTTATCCCCTTTCCAGGTTTCAGGACAGCTGGTGCCTATATCCAGTAAATATATTTAAACAAAAGTTAAAATTTATTTTGTTTCTATATATTTCAGAAGCATGCGTGGGAATTCCATCAGAAAAGCACTAAAAACAAAAAAAGTGGGTCATGCAGAAATAAAACTATTCTAAGTGTATATACAGTATGTCATGCATTAAATACTGTAAATTCACATCAGAGACAAATAAAACAAATCTAGTGAAAACTTTTTGTTATATACAGCCATGGAAAAAAAAATAAAAGACCACTTTAAAATGATCAGTTTCTATAGGTATGTTTGAGTATTATTTTATTCTGTGAACTACTGACATGTCTCCAAAATTCCAAGAAAAAATGTAGTATTTATTTGCAGAAAATAAGAAATGGTTAAAATTACTATAAAGATTCAATTCCTTCAGACCTCAAATAATGCAGAGAAACCAAGTTTATATTCATTTAGAAACAACAGTACTAATGTTTTAACTCGGGAAGAGTTCAGAAATCAATATTTGGTGGAATGCTTTCAACCAAATAACTGTGCAGTGGTCTCTTAATTTTTTCCACAGCTGTATGTCTTTGAGCTTTAAGAGCACTAAGCTAAAAAGAATGAGAAAGTGAGTAAACTTTAGAAAAATTACATCAGATTAGATTTTTTAAACCTCTGATCACTGCTTTAATTCTAAGCCCTTCCACAGCAGAGCAGTCAGCCCATGTGAATACCAGGATGTAGATTCTGACAGCATTATGTCCCCACTTTACCTGTCAGGTCATAATGTTACATCTTACATGTCAGTCTGAAAAAGCTCCCTTACTGTCATCTCTGATGGTTTTCTTGTTGTCTGGCCTGGTGATAAAAGGTGATCTACATTAATGCAAATTTTATCACGTTAAAGTGTAATAAAGTTAGGCAGCAAAGGTGCACACTCAAAATATATATTCATCTACATTTAATATCTCCAGAATGTGATCATATTACTGATGATGTGCCCTGACTGGACTTAGACAGACTGGACAGATGTGAAAGACTTTTACTGACACATTCTCTAAGTGCACCTCTAAAGTTTCCTTAAAAAAAAAACATGTGAGGAAAATAACTTACCCTCCAGAGAGCCACTTCCACTTCCCCCACTAATCTTGTTTGGTTAATTACATGAAAATCAAGCTCTTTGTGCAAAGTGCTTATTAGGCTCAAAGTAAACAAAACCCTCTGCTTTTCTTTGTTTTCTTCTGCACAAACAAAATGTATCTGCTGATGAAAGAAGTGTGTGTGTGTGTGTGTGTGTGGGGGGGGGGGGTCCCACCTATGACCCAGAAATTCAGAGGTTTGTCACTTCAGTAATCTGGATTTGTGTGTTTTTAATCAATAAGTTTATCATTTTCAGCATGACAATACAAAAAGAACAATAAGAAAAATGTGTGTAGACCTTTAAGATTTTACTTTTTAATGAAGTTATTTAATTTTATAGCTCCAGTATAAAATACAAAATGTTAAAATGTGTGCTCTTGAAAAAAAAATCCCAAAAAGTGGCCACTGCACCACTTTTTCCAGAACAAATATTTCAGTCATGACACACAAAGACTATCATAAATACAGTTCAATAAGTTAATTCATTAAGCAGAATGTAAAGAAGACATGTGAGATCTGCTGTGTCACTGATTGTTCAAACTTAGCTAAGGAAATGAAAATGAATGCTATTGAGTTCTTAGGTATTTTCTATTTCTAAAGAACATTCACTAAAAGAACATGGGAGCAGGCATGAAAACATTTAAACTCAAACTGCATCAGCTGTTGAAAGAGACAATTACATTTGTCAAAACTTTGTACAACTCTAGAAAGGCTTGTTTTTGTGACTAAGATTGTTTTCTGGTTTTTAATCAGATGTTTATGTGTGCATGACGTGAAGCTGCAACACAGCTGAGGAGGTCCATGTTATTAAAACAGATGGATTATTTTTATATATAAGAACACAGATCATTTTCCAAACTGTTACAATATTGCTTTAAAATATATTAAAACATATCTAATATATCTAAAGGTTCTGTCAGACTATATTTTATACAACTTAAGTGACATTCCAGGTTACAACTTATGTCGATGAATGTATATTTTGTCCAACACACTGGAGTGCATTAAAGATGGAATAAAATTTTTAATTTACTGGAAGCCTTGTTTGGATGTAAACATTCCTTACTGCCAATGAGTTGAACAAACACATAACCTATGAGTAAATTAGTCATAACAAAATTTTCACAAGTTGGTGTAAGTTGTCTAAAATGTCATTGTTTGACAGTGTTGAATGAAAATATAACTTGTGAGAAAGTCATCCATAACTTGTCCAAAGATTATTGCGAAATCGGGTCAAAACTCAGCACAGTAATGTGTGAATTTTGGTCAGATTTCGCCTTTCCAACAATCTTGATTCCCTGTTTATAGTGATGGCTCTAAAAGTAATCTTATGAGATATTCCTGCCAAGTGTGGTGTGTTACGAGTGATCTAATCGGCTTGGAAAGACACCTGAACTACTTCGACCTCAAATCTGGGAAATTCAACATATTAAATACGTCTTGGCCCGATATCCCAGCGTGTGTGGTGTTTCCCCGGGGACAAACAAGCATACAGCCTGTCAAATGTGACATGTAGCCCATCAGAAAACAAGGTGATGAAAACACGAAAGGAAATCCAAAATACAGAAGACAAAACAGCAGCTATGGACATCAGAGACATCTTTTTGTTTTGTCTCCGTTAAAAGTAGTCCACAAACGATTGCCATTGCCTCGTCCTCATCTGCCATTTTATCTACTATGAGCTCATGTTTGATCTCAAGAGATTTTGTGAGATTTCCCATCTGACGTGTAAATGTTCGTGAGAGAAATCTATCCGTGTATGGTGTGTTGTCTTTTGTCGTTTGGATGTACACCACACTGTGGAACCAAACCTGTTATATTTGAGATTTTTTTATCTTCATATGTGGACTCTCAGTCTTTGAAAATCAACCGACAATTTTAAAATCTTGCCGTGTGAACCAGACATTATTCATAATGTAAACAAACATATGACAGTGATTTTTGACCTGCTGTATGCAGAGCTTATGCCCAACATTAAGTTTGCGTGGCATGTTGTGATGTAACATTTAACATGCTAACATTGCACATAAGCTCTGCAGTAAATGTACTCATCTGGTTTCCAATGTATGAGTAACTTACATGTAACATGTAAACTTGTGCATAACCTATCTGTCACATACCTGTAACCTATGCTTAACTTAGCAAAACATCGGCATACAGTGGAAATTTTGTGCATGTATGTTGGCATCAGTGTACAACTTATTATATATCAGAGTAACCTATTTAAAACTTACACCACTTACATCAGCATGTGTGCCATTTTTTTCCCCCAACATTGATGCTATATGTTGCTACGAGACAGCCACTCAACAGGAAAAAAAGCAACAACAGAGAGAAAAAAAGTACAAATATGATGTAACGTCAGTGAGATCCTCACATTCTGGTTTGGGCATACAGCGCTGCTCCTGAACAGCTTAATTTTAAAAAGTCTGATGTAACTCATTCAAAGTGCTTTAAATCCATCATAGTTTTGTTCCTCTGTGCTAAAGGCATCTTCTTTGTAAAAGTGGTGAATGGAGAACGGCAGTCGTATTGTGAAGCCAGCCAAAGTTCATCACAGCTCGCTGTGAGGTTCGTAAATGAAAAAGTCCATTACCCAAAGACTCCAATTAAAATGATGAGTACAAGAAGGAGACTTCCACACACGGCGAGGTAGAGGAGTTTCTATCAAAAAAAAGGACTACATCAAAGTCAGGAAAAGGAAGAGCTGCTTTCAGATTTATAGTAACTTGTCACAGATGAATGAACAGAGTCAGAAGAAAATAATGGGATGGATGAACATTCAGTTCAAGAAAGGGGGGTTAATGGGTGTGGAAGTGTTACCTGACACAGTAGTCACAGAAAGTCTCACACAGCACGTTTGGTTAGYCCAACAGACAGGCCAACAATTAGTGCGATGACAGCAAGCAGGATCAACAGAGCAAAGGCAAGGATGATGTATTTCTGCAAATAGAAATTGCTACATGAACTATAAAAAAGGCCATGTTTATTYAATGCTATGAAGGAAGCAATGTGAAGGTTATCAAACCGTATATCTTGTCTCATTTGCATCTTTTATATTGAGATGTATTAGTATTTGAATGGTACCACATACCCTGCGTGATTTCTTCTGGTATCTCACCGCCTTTTTAGTCTCTTCTTTTGCACGACAAATATACTCAGCTGCATTCGAGACATTATTCTCGATGTTGTTCACCATATCACCCTGTAGAAATACTCCATTTCAGTTTTTTATTACAATTTGTGCACTTGGTTCGTTAGTGACACTTACTCTACACTTTTAAGGTTTGAGATAAGATTGGTGACAGCATTTGACACTAACCCCTCAATAAAGCTTCTCGTTTTTACAGTCATTACCTGAGTTTCTACCAGCATTGCCATGTCCATGAACATTGCATGAAGCTCTCTGATGCTGGACTCCAAACGCATAATGTCCTGGTGACGAGACTCAATCTCATTCACAGCCTGCCGTGTGATTTGGGAATCAGAAATGATCTGAAACAGAAACATGGACAATGTATGCCCATTTGAAAACACAGGTTTTTATGTATCAAAGAAAAATAAACAGGAAGTTGATCCGTGCCTACTCCAGATGACTGACTTCTGCATAAACAAGATGAAAATGCAAATGTAGGAGAAAACATACATCAGATGTGAAGATTGATGGATTTCCACTTTCCAACATGTCCTCCAGTTCTTCATTGGTGGTCACTCTTCCAGCTCAGATAAGAATAAAACACAAAGAAAGTTTAGCTGCTAATTATATTGGATTCAGCACATCCCCAACAAAATGGCAGTGGTCACGTTTTTATACTACGTACCATTGGTGTAATTTGCAGGGGGGCTAAAGGGGTTATGACCCCCACAAAAATTTGATCCAGTCAAAATAACCATGCCAATGAAATAACATCATTTGCTCTAACATAGCAGAAATTCTATAGTTAAATTCATAGCATTATTATTGTTAATCTATAGTCTTTAGGCTTATTAGCAAGAAGTAGGAGTGATGTCGGCAGTACTTTCTATTTTCATCAAAAACAGAGTTGCAATTAAGTGCAAAATTGTCATGCACAAGTTTTCTGTGGGGGAACAGAACCGTGTACGTTTTAAACCAGAGAGACAACCAGGCTCTACTCTCCACCCTGGCAGCAGCTATGCTGTTCGGCTTGGTCCAGTGTGTCTCCATGTTTCCAACTGTGCACATCGGCGCTGTTTCAGAACCTCCTCTCCGGTTGTGGTTCTATAAGCGAGTAAGCACACTTACGAATTTGACATCAGCAGAATGCTGCCCGTGGATTAGCTCTGGGATTAATGGACAGAATAAAGGAGAGCGCAGCTTTTGTTTTGGAATACAAGCGCGCAGTGCTAAATGCTGCTAAACTCCCTGCAGGAACGAGAGGCTAATCTCCACATGATGCTTGGACTGTAGAAAGTGGAAATGCGGCAGTAAGAAAGGTAGCTATCAATTTAATTAACTGACTAATTCTTACTATTTWCACTTGTTTTAGTGAAGATTAAGTGCAATGATCATGTTGTTTTGGGCACAGTCAGTTAAAATGGAGCTGTAGACTCTTAACTTTGAACATTTGGACATTGGACAATAATGTGGGGTTTTGTTTTGTCCCCACCTTCAGTTTTTCCCACCATAAAGCAGCACCAGGCTGACAGGTAGTAAAAAAATAACTGGAGTGATTCTGAATTGTTATTTTACACTTTAAAACTACATTTTGTTTTTATTGTTTTATTTTTCAGGGTCTTATAATTTATTTTATTTGTATTTATTTTATTTGAATTTATTTATATTTATTTTATTAAATTGTAGAATGTTTGACTTGATCAAGACTTTTCTAAGATTTCACACTACAAAATGGGTAAAAATGTGCGATTCATACTGATATGGTATCGGGTCAATATCGGTATCGTATCGGAAGTGAAAAAGTTTCGGGACACCTCTAGAAAATACCATTATGGGTCAGGAGTTTGGTTTAGGACTAATGTGTGAATTGAGTTTAGGTTAGGCTTTGGGTCAGGTATGTGGTTGAGAGGTTTTTCCCTGCTGACTCAGCCCAACATCAAACAAGCATCAATGAACAAGCAAGTTTATCAGAAAAATATGATTTTGACTTGTAGAACTGACTGGATGAGATCTCCATCTTCTTCTGCTTATCTGTAGTCATACCGTGGAGGCAACAGGTCCAGGAGAGACATCACTCTCCCCAGTAATACTTTCCAGCTTGACCCGGGGGATCCTGAGGCGTTCCCAGGCCAGAGAGGATACATAATCCCTCCAGCGAGTYGTGCCTGGAATCTCTAAAAGGAGGCATCCAGGAGGCATCCTAATCAGATGTCTGAATCACCTCAATTGACTCCTTTCGATATGGAGGAGCAGCGGCTCTACTCCGAGCTACCCCTGGATGATGGAGCTCCTCATCRTACCTCTAAGGCTAAGCCCGGCCACCCTATGAAGGAAGCTCATTTCTGCCGCTTGTATCTGGGATCTTGTTCTTTCGGTCATGATCCACGCCTCATGACCTGAGAGTTGGAACGACAGAGCAGTCCCCTCCACAGAATCGCCACCTTAACATGGTGGAGAGGTTTGAGTACTCCCATGATCCAGGGGGCTATGATCCCRGCGAGCGCCTGGAGGTCAAGCCTTGGCTCCTGGGGCTCGGCCGGTYGAAGCCCGAAAGGACTAATGGAGGCCTGTGGGGAGGACCATCAAGGTCAGGGGCAATGCATGCCGGGCAGCAGGTGAAGGAGGGTCCCTGATCAGGCTGATTCCTGGTGGCAAAGATGGGCTCTTAGGACTGGATGAGATGAGGGACAAAATATAAGCTGCAATTTTACCATTCACTTAGTGAGGGGACAACCAGTGGACCCAGAGGGTTGTTGACCTCATCAAGATCAACACCTCCAGGTACATCTGATCGTAACCCCACCCCCTACCCTACTGTCTTCTCTAAAGCTAGAATGAAAGCAGGAAGGGTGAGGACAACTCTGAGGCCTGAAGTTAACGCAGCTCATGTGTTGTCTTGTACCACATAAATAATCCAGCAGAATAAATTTAACAGGACTTTGATATCTCCCTGGAGCTGTGTGTCAACATTGTGCATGCAGGCAAATCTTTATTTCAAGTGAAAAGTAACAAAGAAAGATGACTTCAGTTAAACAATTACATTCTTTGCCTAACCATTAAGACAAAAAAAGTTWAATTTGTATTTAGTGCCCAGAAGGATACACAAGGAAAAAGCTGAAATCTAAAGGTTAAAAAGACAAAAATAAATAAATATAAGATAAMTGCAGGTGCTCCAAACCCTTTTGTTGCCAAATGTTTAGTGATCTACTCCAGCTGATTAAGGTGATCAGCTGAAGACTTGCCTTTTTATTTCTCTTCATCTGATTGTCACATAGTCTCTCATAAAAATAGAAGCAATAATTTTTCCAAGTTTCCACGTCTGAGTCTTTTAACAAGTATCATAAAGGTTAAACTCGAATCTATATCAAGACCTATTTACCAGACTTTCAAAAAAAAATAGAATGCATCTCTTCTCTTTAATCATTTTTTCAGGTTTATTTCATGGACATGTGCCTCAAACCACTGATTGTCAAAGCAGCTTGGTTCATGTTGGTCTGTAAATGTCTTAGTGTTGTCCACAAATACACACTATTCACTCATTTCAGGCTAAATTTAACGTTAAGTCAAAAGCTGTTTGGTTGTTTAAGCATTTTATGGAAATATTCTAACATGAATCAAGTACATTTTTAATTTGTTCTCATTTTTATAGCTATCTTTCAGGGTTGCTAAAACTTTTGACCAAGACCGTACATTTTATATTAGTCATCAAATGTAGAAATATTTAAGGGAGCAGGAGCTTAATGTCACACAAACACACACAGCACAACAGAACACGGCCCTGAAACTCTGTAAAGAGAAAGCTTTGCCTCCTGTTGTGCAACCCTCTCCCTGGGGAGGCGGATCTCTGTGCAGGTGCTTGTTGTGTCACACACCTTTTGCAATAGCGATTCCTCGGAGAGACCAAAAAACCGAGCAAAACACGCACACCTCTGAGAACGGAGACATCAAGGAGAGGGTCTTGTCTCTCCACAGAACATTTTCATTAAATCCTGCAAGTCCAGGGCAGCACAGACAGAGGTTGTGTGTAATTTCTGTCTAAAGGGTGAACGTCTGTTTCACAAGCCTGGCTGGCCTCTGCATATTTCCTGGGCAACGCCGACACCGAGAGACATCTCCAGTATCAGTATCAGTCCTGGAGTACACAGGGACTGTGGGGAAACAGTCCCTATTTTTCTCTCTTTTCACTACCGTCTCATGTTACCCATACATGGAGAATCTAATGAACCTATATGTGTCACAGTTATTTTTAGCAGAAAACCACAGAACGTGGCAGAGAAATTATGGAAAATATCACATTTCAAACTACTGAACATGTTTTTGTCCCCCTTAGTTTTACTCTCCAGCTCAGATTTGAATAAAATGCTGATTGTCTACAGTTTGGTTGTGATTAGAACAGGACACTACTGCTTTTTACATGAATATTTTATCTCTGGATTCTTGTGTTCTGTGCTCCCAAACTGAGAATGTGTATTCAAGAAGACAATGCAAGAAAAAAAAAGGTGTTCCTTGCTTTTAGTTTCATTGATAACAATGTTGAAAGTAACCATCTCAAACAGGACAAAATGTTTTGGTTTCACATWGAACCAGGGGATCCTGTCTTTGTCTTTGTCACCTACTTATCTCCAGTTGTCTCTGGATCCTTCCTTTGCTCCGTTCTCGAAACGACACCTGAGTGGCGTTGTACTGGGTCATGACCTCCACAAACTTCCTGGATAGCACCGTGTGCTGAGGGGAAGTGAGGAAAAAAAGATGACAAAGGATGAGAATGTGCTGCAAGTAYTTTAGAGAGGCCACCACAGAACTTAAGATGCTTATAGTATATTAACTTAGCACAAAAAATAATGAAATTTAGATTTGGTATTTTATTTCTTTGTTGTAACAATGCTTCTTGACAATAAGTCTTAAAACGTAGGAAAGCCTGTTGAATTCCTTTTAAATGGTGCCACATTTGTAAGGAACATGGGATGAGCAGTAAAGCTGAGTATCTGGGCTGTGCACATGAAAAGTTAGCCAAATCTTCTCTGCCAAACAGCCTACTTTGTTGYTGTTTTTAACACTTGTTCTGAGCTTGTGGTYCCCCCAGGTGCTGCCAATCCGGTTTAAGATTGGTTTAAGATTCAGAGAGAATTAGAATGTAAGGATAATATTTAWATGCACCGTAAAAATCAAGAGAACCTGCATTTAATTGTCTGTGTGTTTGCTTGTATGCAACTGATTAATGTCTAAAATGAATGAACTCCATTCAAGATTGCCACCACTGTTACTGTAACTGATCTTAACACAAAAAATGTCTCAAACTCTGTCAATTTTACAGATAGTGAGCTAAAACTAGATACTTCATAGCGGTAACATAATGACCCCCGCATGCACAATTGCACCAGAACTCAGAAGTCTTTATTCCTAATAAATGTCACGCTACTAGGTGCATCCCAAAATTGTAGTGGTTTGGGTGGGGGTCATTTTTTTGGGGGGCGCGCTGATGGATAGCCCCTCATCAGAGCTAAACAACCAAAGAAATCTGAAGCTCCTATGTTTAATAGTTTTTGAGCTATAACAAGTTTTGTATGTCCAGATACCCATATTTCAGATAAATTGGGGGTCTGTGGGGGGTGGGGGCACTGAATGTGGGCCTGATGGATAGAGCTTCATCAGAGCTAAACAACAAAAGAAATCTGAAGCTTCTATGTTGAACAGTTTCTGAGTTATAAGCGATTTTGCATGTCCTGACACCCCCACTTTGAAAGGAGCCCCCTCCTCAAATATGGGGTCTATCGTAAAACCGTTGGCTGGTGCAGTGTAGGTCAGACTCATCTACAGTCCTGCCAAATTTCATGTTGATCGGTGCAGCYGTTTTTGTGCTACGGTTGACAAAAAAAATTACTGAAAATAAAAAAACGTACGAAAACAACATGACTCCCGCTTACGCTTTGCGTGCGGGGGTCATAATTAGGTGTAGTAGAAGCCAAGAGTCATTCCCACTCGTACTCAAAGAACTAACAGATATCATGAGCATTGTTTAAAACTTTGGCATGAACAGTTGAGGTCATCCCTGCCTGTCTGTTAGCAAACTATTTCATGCACCGCTGGACAAATTTTAATAAAGATAAAAAAATAATAATAATAATGACTCATTCAAGATGGCAGCTAGAGTGGACATTAGTTGACGGAAAAATGTCTTTAACTTGGTCAGTTTTACGGATATTGAACTAAAGTTTGGTGTGTTGGTAGAACAGTCGTGCCGAACAGATTGTCTGAAAAATATCAAATCTTACAAGATTTCTTTAAAATTTTGATGTTYAAGGCAGTGGGTGAAAGTTACACATTCCAAGTATTTCTAATTCCTTTTATTGAATAAACAATTGATAAATCAAAGCAAAAACATTGCTATTTGGATGGTATAAGTATTAACTGTGTGGAAAAACCTCTGGTCATTGGACSGTTTGTCTCACCTGTGTTTTCTGGATCCTGAAGTCGACAGAAGCTCTATTAGCAACATCATCTTTTGGCATGTTTTGTTCCATGGCTTCACAAAAAAGCAGTTATGATTACATCACGATACATCAATATAAATGTTTGTCATGTGTCATCAGTAAAAGTGTTCAACTCACATTTTAGCTTAGCTCGCACCACATTGGCATTCCCTTTGATATCGTTGGTCAGTGCACTCAGCTGATTCTTGGTACCTTCGCACGCAAAAAGGGATAAACATTAGTTTGTGTTTATTTACCAGATTTTAACAAATCTCCACAAGTCTGTAAATATTGAGTTACTGTGATTCAGTTTGGCTCCTATACAAAGGTTTACAGCAGTGGTCAAAAAGCAAAAAGGTCTTTGTTTCTTTCTTTGGTGAGTGATAAACACAGATGATGTTGGGGCTTTGTGAACCGTGGTTTATGTTATCCAGGAAATCTCAGCTCATGTAAAGAATAAAGCCAGGAAATTATGTCTTTTCTCATTTTGTTGTTTCAAATCATTAGAAAAGTGTTGGATGATCATTTGAAAACATCAAAAATAAAGCCTCTGAGTGGTTTATAAAAGGATCAGACAGGCCTTGAACTACAATAGTCTGAGGATTTTTGAAAAAAAAAAAAAGACTTGTTTCCTTTGCAGATTTCCGGCCTGCAAACTTTTCATTTCCAACCGAGAGCAAAAGGCAACAGAGGAAACAAGACATCTGCTGCATGTCCACAAAGTCCAAATCTGTACAAGCAGCTCTGTTCAGTTTCAGCCTTATTGGCACAGCAGAAAAAAATCACAACACAAAGTGGTCTCTGTCATACTGTGTCGACTGAGAGTTCAACCTTCTCTAAAGACAAACTTACTGTCGTCTGGGTTGGGTGCAGACAGGATCATGCTGTGTACCTTCCTCACCTCTTCCACTTGGTAGGAGATCTTATCGATCAGCCCTCTGACCTCCTCCACCTGAAACCGACCAATAAACACCTTAAAGACTCACTGAGTTATCCAGGAGTTTACGCTCACACACCCACCCTCCTGAAATATGTCTCCATGAAGCCGTCAGTGTCCACAGAGACCGTCACATCCTCCTCAGCTTGTGTGTTACTCTGTGCAGATGAGAAAATGGGTTTCAGTGCGTGGGTCCTGCAGCCTGTGGCTCTGGATGCAGACCTTCAACCCTCTTTTTGCAGGTTTTCTTGTACAAGGCTTTTCAAATTGTGCCTGATGATCAAATCTGCAGTAGAATGACTGTAATAACAGGTTGGGTTGCCTGGGTGAACCATGCTTTTTAACAGAACTTAGAAGAAATGTCTGTGATTATACAGAAATGTTCACTTCTGTAACAGAACTGCCAAAATTTGACTTGAGCTTTCACTAGAATGTTTTCCATATGCAGTGATCAGTTTTACTGTTGAGCTAATATACTTAGGACAAAAATAAAGTAAATTTGTGTTTGGTAGAATTTTTCTTTGTTGTAACAATGATACTTGGCAAAAATTCTTTTTACATAATTGTAAAGCCTGTTAATTTTCCTTTCAAATGGTCAGATTTGGAAGGAACATGCATTTATGGGATGAGCAGTAGAGCAGAGTATGTGGGTTGCTCACACGTAAAATTAACCAATTCTTCTTTTTCAAACATCTTATTTTGCAGTTATTTTTGACACTTGTTTTGAGCTTCTGGTACCCCCCAGGTGCAGCCACTCAGGTGCCTGATTGGCAACCAGTGCCAATCTCAGATCTCCACAGTCTGAGACCAAATTCTAGCCTCTAAAATGCCTGTTGAAGAATGAGATGCCATCCCACATCAGTGTGTGACTATGCTGGTGAGAAGCATGAGGAGGTGGTGCCAGGCTGTTGTAGCTGTGTATGGTTCTTCCATGATTCTGTGGCTCCTGTTTGTTAAATGAATAAACTGTTACACTGCCAATATGACTTGTTTCTTTGAACTTTAATCATCCAGTCCACCAAACRAATCAATGTCAATTTAAGCTGTTTGTCAAAATTTTCATGTGCATAACTCTACTGCTCATCTAAGAAATGTATGTTCCTTACAAATGTTTCACCATTTCAAAGGGAAATTAACAGGCTTTCCAACAATATACTATATATACAATATACTATATAAACAATATTGCCAAGAAGCATGGTTACAACAAATAACATATAAACACAAATTTCCTTACTTGTGCACAGTTTAGTTTGTTAGTCTAATTTCATACTTTGTTTATGCAGCAATCTAAAATGAAGTCAGAAAATGTTCTCTAAATCTGACAGAAGAATCTCATTTTTTCTATAAAATGGAGTAGTTTTTCATAAAATTTAAGATAAAGACAAAACAAACAAAAAACATACCCATCATACAGTATATTTAAACTTCCTAACTAAACTTCAGTTCTTTCTGCAGAAGAACTGAAGTTTTTACTTGTTCTTTTACATAGATCTGTAGTTCTAAATAGAACGTGTAATTTTATTATTCCTACAACTTGTCACTGAATAAACAATTTCTCAGTGAAGCATAAATGGCACTTTAAAAAAAATGTTGATTTCGTGACTTCAAAAGATGTCTTTATTCCAGAGGTGTGTCATAAATGGGCTTAACAGAACTTAGGCCTTTTTACTTTGTGCTGAGATACATTCTGGGTTTTTTTTTTTTTTTGTTTTTTTACTTTTCTTTAAAAGGTACTACATTTAAATAAATTAAACACTGAATGGCCTATGCTTTGTATGTTAATGTTTTAAACAACAAAATGGCCTCAATATGTTAGAACTTCAATTATGTCAACATCTACTTCACCAAGTTTTACCTTAATATTTGTAATATTGACGGAGTTATAGAATTATTATTTTTTGCCTTACTTTGATTAGCTCTGTTAGCTACCTTGAATGCAGTTGGCACAATAACTTATTTGTTTAGGTGTAGAAGAAAAAACATTCATCTATGTATATTTTTGTTTAGTTTTTGAAACTTTATTTATTTATCGCCTTTATTCTAAAGTGGTGTAACTAAAACAGCCATAAATGTTGCTGAAATACAAACAGACATACATTTCAGTGAACTGTAAAAGGTTTGGGGGATGTCTGAGCCCACCCCTCTCTTTCAGGCCCACCGCCTCTGTTAGTTAAACACTTACAGCGGTCAGCTCAGCCAGCCGGTCCCTCATCGTCCTGGTCCGGTCCGTGGGTCTCCTGCTCTGATGAGTTCAGCAGAACATCCTACAACCCTCCATGTGTGCACTGCCAGCCAGCCGACATCCAGGAAACTGAAGACAAGATGGTGTGAAGCAAAGAAAACAGAAACTAGACAAAAATCCAGGCTCCACATTCACCAAAGTTTGAATCCAAAACGTGTTTTCAGCGAGTTTTTCTGTTTTACGCAAAAACTCCCCAACATAAGGTTCATCTGTTCTTCCTGAAACAGGTCGATGTTTCCCCACAGCGACTTCAATCCCCTCCTCCTCCTCTTCACACACCTCTTTCTTTCACACAAACACACACACACACACACTAACACACACGTTGTCTTTTTTTTTTTTCAAACCACAGGATAGATAAAATAAATTTGACGCCAAAAAGAAAAAAAAAAAACGAAAGAAAATGTAAGGAAAAAAAAACTTTTAGTAATACCGTATATATGTTTTAAGTCCTGCATTGAAGCCTAACGTGCCACCGTGAATTAAAAAAAAAAGTAAAATAAAAACTGAAAACCATGTCAGCACCTCTCCACGGTTATATGAGAAGGTTTGATAAATAAATAATAAACAGGTGAGCTGGAACGTGTGGTCAGATGACCTAATGTTGTTGTTTACCTGGACACATGGTGGCGCTGTTTACCTTCAAGCTCGCTTTGTTGGACAGATCAATCTGCTGACCACAGGAAGAAAACTGCTTGGGCAAGTTATTATTATTATTATTATTATTATTATTATTATTATTATTATTATTATTATATAGCCTGCGAACAATGTTAAACAGTGCAAATCTAACAATAGTCACTAATAGTGCTGCTGGTTTAGTTTTGCTTTGCAAAACATTTTTGTGTTTCCAGTATGCAGCTGAAACTCAGTCAGGTTTAATAAAGTAGCCCTAATGGTAAMTATAACTGAAGAAATGCATATTGCTTGCATGCTAGATTATTTTTGAGAAACGACRTATTGGTTCAACCTTATTGGGCCTAAATCTCGTGCAAAATTACATAATCTGTCAACGCTTGGCGTAGTGAAAAACTCTCGGCTATAACCAATTTGCGCGCAAACGGATGGAGTTTTAGTCATTGCTGTGTAATTCACTCAGCTGTGACGGCCATCTTGATTTAGGTCAACTCCAATAGGTAACTGTAGATGAGCAGTGATTATTTCCTGGAAGTTTCATTAACATCTATTCAGCGCTTTATGAGATATTTTGCTAACAGACAGATTCGACTCCAGTTTGGAAATTGCAATTGGAAAAAGCGCTCAGAATAGATGTTAGGGATCAGTCAGCTACTACCACAGGTAAAACTGACTGAATTGTAGCCATTTTGCGTTTTTGATGTTGCTTGGCTGTGACGGCTAGTATCTCTTGAGTTGACTCAAATAATGATGTAGATGTACATTTAATGGTTACTATCTACAAGTTTCATTACAGTTCGTCCAGTGGTTCATAAGATATTTTTCTAACAGACAGACAAAATCAGCCTTTGCCTTAACCAAACCCCGCTCCACCCAGCTCATGTCTCTCTAACTGACCTCAACACTTAAACAAATGATCAGGCCACACGTTTGTCCTCATCGCTTGATCACTTTCTCACGTTTGTTTGGAAAGCAAACATCCTGATCTCATTCATTTCATTCCCCTGCAAAATCTTCTGTTGCGCACAAAGCGTGCCATTTACGCACACAACTTGAACGCCCCTCCTCAGAAGGTCCAAAAAGAGCGAAAAAAAAAAATGACATCACGTTTTTTCATTCCCACGTTGAGTTCCAGTCCAGTTCGGTGCGCCTCCTCTGAGCTCCTCCACTCCTCGCAGTTTGGAGAAACAATCAGTAACTTTCTGTCGGATAAAAACGTTTGGCTCCAGTTTTTTTGACCATGACAGAGCAACCTTTAAAGTTGTCCTGCCTCACTCTCTGAACTGGGATTTTTTTTACACCAGTTTACAGACTAACTGTAATATTTCTTACTAGTTTGGACAACTAATCAGATCTTGGAACAATGAGGAAAACCTGCTGGATTTATCTTTTTGTGGGGAATTAAGTTGATTGATTATTTTATTTATTTTTAAAGAGGATGATTCACTTTTCAAGAGCAATGGAGATTTGTTGGAATCTTCATATTTTGACAGCTTTTCTCTCCTGTTTAAAGGTGAGTCACTGAGACACAAGTTGCGAAAATCCCATTTTCCTGTGTGGAAAGTTGAATTATTTTCTTGCTTTTACAGGTTTACTCTCAAGTGTTGTCGACTAAAAAGCACCCAGGTGAAATATTTTACTTTTTATGTTTCTGTGCTGTTTCACGTCAAATCAGCAGATCATACATTTGGGAGGACTTTGTGATTTGCTAACACCAAGGCCAAAGGATATTATTGTTTACAACTTGATAATCAGAACAATCTGATATTTCAGCTGCTTAATTCATCATCATCAATCCTCTAATCCAACTAACATCCAGAATTGGACTAAATTCTTTGTAATGTCCGTGTTGGACCCTTGTCTGACTGTGAACTCTCTGCCCAGGCCTGCAGGTGTTGGCCACAGCTTCCCATTACTGGCCGCTGGATTCGGTGGACGGAATCCATGAACTGTGGGACCAGATTGGAAACAGGCCGGGTTATGTTAACGGGACCAACATAAGTATGAGCCGAAATGTGTTTCTGTGAATGAGCTGCCTGAATGACTTGTTCCACTTCAGTCAGTTCTGCTTTTTTTTCAGTCATTCTCATTCTTTTACGTGAAATTTATAACTGTAGCCAAAGAACAAAATATCTTCAGTGTCATAATTTACATAATTTTCCCTTTAGTTTTAAAACTGCAACGATAGGATTAAAAATGCAAATTGTCACTCCATTCCAGAGATCTGCCTCTCCACTCGCTGGCWAAAAGAAACAGAGAAACTAAAATAAATACATAAATTCTAGAAAAGCTGCATTTTTCATTATAATGGAATTTTTTTTAATTATCTCGAGAAAACGGTCATCATTATTTTGTGATAATGATATAATTAAGTCGTTATCTAGAGAAAGAATTATGTGCGGAAAATGTCTGCTCTTGGCTTCCATACTCCACATCATACCCATGTGCAATAGAAATTAGTTTTGGTTGTGTTGTTGACATTGTAATATTGATATGTTTGTTATATTGTTGCCCTTTTTTTTGCACTAGTGACTTTTTTCCTAAACTGTGTGAAGTARACCGTAATAGGGGAATTATTTAATTGATTCTGTACTGTTACATCRCTTTATTTAGTTGTAGTTAGTTAATACAAGACATTTTTATTTGCCTAAAACCATTGCCCTGCATTTTGTCATAATTATTCAATGAGCATGACAAGTGTCAAAATCTGAAAATTCCTAGTATTGCCCAACCCTAGATATTATAAACATGGGAAAATGTGTGCAGGTAACTATATATTTACACAAATACTGTATTTTTAAAATAATAATTTCATCCTACTAAAATTTGCTAAAACATGGTCAAGATTTCATTTGGGTCTGATTTCAGACTGGTTGGGGAGCCCTCTATTCTTTCTTCTGTCTAAGTTGATGTTGGAGTTAAATCTTTGTTACAACAATGTTGTCAATGCATCCTTTGTGAAATGTTTAAAGTTGTCGAGGGATCGGGTATAGACATGAGCATGATGTGTGTCGTCCCTCTGAGTTTCCCTTTTGTCACTGAGCACCCAGCTCACTCACCATCACTCTGTCTCATACCTGTGCAGCACGTCCCTCCCACTGTTTAACACTCACTGTTCTCCTCTCTCACCTGTGGAGTGTCAATTACTGTTGGTTTGTTTCTTTGTTTGTTTATGTGTTTTTGTCATCCAGCTCTCAGAATCCACAACCACACTGTGCTTCCTCCTTCCCATAACTCTTCCTATGTGTATACCAATGACTCTGCCTACTCTAACATTTCTGCGACAGTAGGTGAGAATCCTTCTCTTCCTCCACGTTTGATCAGTTTGTGTACCACGACTGTCTGCACACGGATGAACTAAACGTTTCACATCTTTCTGTCTCAAGTCTTTCTTTTCTTGAAGGTTAAAAAAATGGATTCTTAGATTTGTAGTTTATATTTTGTCAAACCAGTTTTGAAATGAAACATTTTTTGTTGATTGCTTTGGTGGTTTCATAAAATACCTAGAAAGAGACAGGAAAACTTAGGATTTCAGATCTTTTGAGTTKTTTTTTTTAAGATTATGAACAGTTAACATCTTACCTGTTTTAGAAAGCTCTTTGAAAGTCCTCAGCTTGGAGAAAGTTTATTTTTACCAAACTGATGCGTTAACAGCTACTGCGTGTGAGATTAACAACAAAGTGGAATGTTGCATCTTAAAATGGCTCCAAGTTAAAAAAAAATCATACAAACTCACAAAATCACTGTTTATTAAACCACATTGTTGTAATTTTGCATTACAGTATTATTTATATCAAATTTAATGGTGACTTGCAGTACACAAAGCAGCAAAAGCTAACTGCTGCACTATAGTCCAGCCTGGACCACTTCATGCAGGAGAATCAGAATGTTTTTGCTTAAAGAACCATGTAATTTAAAGGTTATGGTTTGTAAAATAGTGTTTTCAAAAAAATTGAAGCCAGACTTGTTTTAAAAGGGGATTATTGAAAATCAATTTTGTACCTTTATATCATGTTATAATGTCATTCCCTTATCAAAAACATACCCAGAGCGTTGCTTTGACTCATTCAGGTATGTTTGAGAAATCCTTGATTTGATTGATTTGATTTGATTTGATTTGATTTATTTATTTAACAGGAAAAGATTATTAAAAATCAAACCTGACTCAGCATAATTGCTGTTTTACAGCAGGTTCCTGTTCTGCAGCACATAAAACACTCAGAATTACAGCATCACAATCACATCATTTTACACCACAGACACAAAGACAAACAAGCATACCAAATTTCAAAAGGGCAGCATTTGCAAAATAGGACRTCTAAATATGAGCACAACAAAAAGTGTCCAGCAGATGGCAGACAAGATTCTTCTTAAAGGGCTGTAGTTTTGAAATGGACTTTATGTTTTGAGGAATGTCATTCCATGCTTTAGTATAAACATAGAAGAAAGACCTCTGGTCGTAACAGTTTTTAAAATTTGGTAATATCAGTTGTCCTTTTGTAACAGATCTAGTTGAATGACCACTTCCAGAATTTGATTTGGGCAACAATGCACAGAGAGTTCCATAATTGGTACCTTGGAAGATCTGAAAATATAAATTAATACCACTATACAAAACATAATTCTGAAAAGTCAAGGCATCAGACAATGAAAGAACTGTGCAGAGATGAGTCCAACCAAGAAGTTTTTTATGAATTTTGTAGGCCCTGTTGTAGAGCCTAACTATGGGTTCTAAGATTTCATTTGTTGTAAGAGACCAAACAGGTAAACAGTACGACATGGYTGAGARTATAATGGCATGAAGATAGATATTTGAAACAGAAGATGCCAGATTGGATCTAATTTTTGAATAAACGTATAATTTCTGTTTCAACTTAGTGKTTAAGACTTGTACATGTACTTGAATCTCCTGTGGCCATGTGGAGCTGCCTAAATGCTTGCTGGTACAAAGCACCACCTACTYACGCAAAGCTCCTCCCTGGAGCTCAGTCTGCAGCCAAGCCCCTGACCTACAAAGCACCCCTCCCCACCAATAGCGTCATCAACAATTAGCAAACAATTGGAGGAACTTTTAACTAACTACAAAACATAGCTGCATTATGATCAACAGTATTTTTATAGTTTCTGTCCCCTTTAAGATGGCAGCAATAAACTCTGAATTTGGCCCTGCTTAGATTAGCTTTGGTTCATCAATTTAGTCAGAATTTAATTATTTCTCCAAARAGAAGTTGTTCAAAGAGCTATCTAGAACAGGTAAGACAGTAACTGTTCATGGTCTCTCCACAGAATCCCACTTCAGAAGATTTGATCTATATCCAATTACTGGTTAGAGACAAAACAATGAGTTAACTTTGAATATTTTAGGTAATTTTATTACAATATACATGGAAATGTGTACKATAAATGTGAATCAGGTCTCTCAGTTTTTTCCATTTTCACTWAAAAAATGATGTTTGCTCATTCCTCTGTGTCAGACATTGTTGAAGGAATGGTCAACAAAGGCATCTTTTTGAACGGTGATAACGGCGGGACTTTTCTTCACTTTGGAAACTACCAGAACTCGTGCATCAGTGATCCCATGTTGTGTGGTCCGGAAGGTTAGAGCATGGCCAGTTACGCAAACCTTCAATCGTGAAACCATGCAATCGTTATTTTATTTTTAATYGCTCTCTCCAGGTATCACCTTCTCCTTCTTTTGGAAAAACCTCGAGTCAGATCCACGTTTTGCTGTGGCCTCTGGAGGGAAAGTCATCTCCAACGGTTTCTCAGTTTTCACCAACCCTTTGGTGGGACACGTGGAGATTTACACCCGGGGAAACAACCGCAGATGGAAGGCCAAGATTCCAGTTCCAGGTATTATGAATGAATTTCCATTTTAAAAAAAACACAAAGCCACTTAAGTTACATTATTCATTGGTCATCCGCGAGGAATGTGTTTTTTCAGATCTTTAACTTCAAACAGTAATCGTTTTCATGGTTCAGCCATAACCGACACCAGATGCTGCCGCACTTGATTTTTGCAAGTCAAAGACACGTTTTATAAATATTTTTGTGGCAATGCAAAAATAATATGCCTCTTGGATGAGAGGCAATCCCATTCAAAAGAGAGAAATAAAACTGTCTAAAGACTGATATARGTTACATGAAATGAATAAGAGACAAATCGTAACTAATCATTTAGATTTATTTATAAAAACAAATGTCCAGTAAATAAGATAAAAAGATTTGTCCAATTATTTTGGATAAAATGCAATAAACTGTGTAAGATTAGGCTTTTACCAATTAGCGTTTCCTTCTCAAGTGACTTCTGTCATCTCTGTGTTTTTGCTGCGGTTACTTGAAATCTTTTTCTGCAACGTCATAACTCTGTTTGGTTTTGAGGGCTGATTTTCAGAGGATCAAACATCGTCTGGTTTCTATAAAGTGTGTCATATCAGACCTTTATGGCACCATTTCAAAATCTGTTGGAGCGCTATCATTCATTTCACAAATGTGATGAAAAATTTAGTGGCTGATTCGGTGAATGTTGAAGTGTTGTGTAACCAACTGTGTGAGTTAAGCTAAAAATGTTTAAACTGTTCATAGGAAAAATCCTTCCGTGTGACAAAGTGAATGAGATGAGAAGTTATACATGTGGTTTACATTGGGACCAGAAATGAAATACATCATGTTCTTCAGGCAGATGTGTCATCAGACACTTGATCTGTTGTCTTTTGGGACTTGCTTATTGTTTGTTTGCTTCGTTCTCTTTTGTATTATGAAGTTATTTGGGAGGAATTTGCCTCAAAAACTTGTGTCGAATACACAACATTAAAATAAAACAAAGCATGTGCAACTGAGGATATTAGTTTATTAATTCATCTGTGAAATTTCTAGAACGTTCCAGTACAAGTTCCTGAATTGATTCACTCACTTAATGGCCTCACTTAAGGCCTCTGCATGCTTTATCCGAATTGCCGAAATCAACTCTCATTGCCACAGTTGCATGACGAAAATCGGGCCATTCTGTTTGCACCTTAGAATCCCCTGCCCCTTCTTGTCACAACCCCGATCCACATAAGAATTTACTGTGATTGGACACAAGTTCATGTATGAAGGTATTTTTTTATTCAATCAAACAAAACAAGTTTCAATCAAAAAGATTTTTTTCAATAAAAAAAAAGTCATTTCAACGAAACAAAATAGCATTTTCAATTAAAAAACTGAATCAAGTTTATAAACAGAAACTTATTTTGCATGTCATAAATCTTTGTTTGAATCTCAAATTTGATGATTTTGATTTGATTTGATGCTCTAAGTTTTTGGTTGAACTCAAAAAAGTTTTGAACTCAGAGAACATGAACAGGGGCGGGGTCTAAGGAGGAACTGCTGTAAAACATGTCCTTATTGGTCAGTGTGGACTGAAGTGATTTCCTGGTGCACCTGCTTCAAATCGAATCAATACATTAAATGTCCATTCTCAAACTGTAATCAGCTGATTTCAATGGTGCGATTAAATTTTACTGAAACTTTTGTGTGTTTTTAGTTAGGTTTGTTTGACAACAGGAGAGGGAAATGTATTTATTCTTAGAAAATCAAAATTCAACTATACAGCTGTGGGTTTTTAATTCTTTTTTGAAGGACTCTACAGTCTGCTTTTCCCTTAAAAGGTCTGGAAGTGAATACCACAGACGAGGAGCAACAGAGCAAAAGGCACGGCCCCCCATGGTGCTGAGCTTTGTTCTGGGGATTTGGAGATGGCAGGAATTGTAGGAACGGAGAGAATGAGTTCTGTTGTGTGGGAAGAGCAGCTCTTTAAGGTAGAGGGTGATATTTCCATGTATGCACTGGTGCGTAAGGAGACCAATCTTGAACTGGATTGTCAGATGTCAGGCAGCACTGGATGAACTGAAGTTTTTGAAGATTTTTATTTGAAATGTCAGAAAGAATGGAATTGCAATAGTCCAATCTTGAAGATATAAAGGCATGGACAAGTTTTTCAGCATCTAGCCGAGAAAGTGATGGAATGAAACTAGCAATGTTTTTAGATTTTTATGTGGGTGTCAAAAAAAAAAGGTGAGGGCGAAACCGGACACCAACTTTGGTGACAGTACTGGAAAGTGTGCAGTATAGCTGTAATGGGAGATGACTGAACCTGATGAGAACTGCCAATGGCCTTTGTTTTGGAGCTGTTSAGTTGAAGATAGCTATTGTTCATCCATAACTTTATGTCCTCCAGACAGGCTGTGAGTGTGCAGAGTAATGATGAGGKGGATGTAGAGGAAAAAGCAGATGGATGATGGTCTATTTTATATAAAGTTGAGTGTCATCAGCATAACATTGGAAGGATATTCCATGACGTCCGATGACTTGTCCAAGAAGTAGGATGTATATTATAAAGAGAGTAGGGCCAAGGACTGACCCCTGAGGAACCCCACAAGTGCCTGTATGAGTCTTTGACTTAGCTCCCCCGATGGCAACATGTTCTGTCCTGTCAGAAAGGTAGGACCGAAATCAGTCAAGAACACTATCATGAAGCCCAATAGCTTGAGAGAGACTGTRGGGATATTGTGATCAATGGTATCAAATACTGAAGACAAGTTGAGAAGAATTAAAAGAGATGATGTCTCCAGTCTTGTAAGTTTATATATTAACTTTTGAAATTCCCTTCTTTTTGGCCTCTCATATAAATCTCTTCAAAAGCTACAAAAGGTTCAGAACTCAGCTGCTCATATCATCTACCTGTCTCACAGAGGCTTCACTGGCTTCTGATGAAATTTTGCATCATCTCCAAAATTTTACTTTACAATTTTAAAGCTGTCCACAATCTCACCCCTCCATATTTATTTGACCTTCTGCATTTCACTATCTCCTCCTGCTACCTACAGATCTGCTTTCAATCAAACCTTTGGCCCATCTCACAATCATGGGGAGCAGAGCATTCAGCCCCTCTGCCTCCAAACTTTAGAACACACTATCCTCTGAATTTGGAGATATCACCTTTCTCTCACTGTTAAAATCCAGACTGAAAAGCCATTAACCCTAATTTACTCAGGTGCAATTTCTTCTTATTGTTTAACTACATTGTAYTACATAAATCTTTCTGTTTGTTATTTGAGACCACAGTTGAGTGTGAGGAAMACAGTGAGAATTAATTAATATTAACCTTTATTTAACCAAGCAAATCTCATTGAGATCACAGATATCTTTTGCAAAAGGGGGGGAGGGGGGGTCTGGGCCTGAAAGCAACCTTTTGTATATGTTTTTGGTCTGGGTGAGGAAACAGAGTACCCAGAGAAAACCCACACAAATATGTGGAGAACATGCAAACTCCACACAGAAAGATCCCAGAACCTTCTTGTTGGGAGGCATCAGTGCTAACCCCTGATGAAGCATTAGGTCTAGATTTTTATTATAGTCGTTGGCGTGCTCTTACTCACACCTGGGTTTAATTTAGAGTCTCCAGTAACCTGCCAACCTGCAAGTTTTTGAACTATTAAAAGAAAACCGGGGTGTCCGGCACAAACCCACACAGTGAGAACATGTAAATGACATTAACAGGCTCTATCCAAGATTCAGACCTTCTTACTGTGGGATAAAAGTGCCAAACTGTGCCACCATAAAATTACATCAATAATAAATTTATTTGTGTTTGACCAAAAGCTGTTATGTGCATGATGTAAGTGTTCAATTTTATCATTGTGTAACTAATTCAGTAAGTACATTTTATCTCTGTTGAAGAAATTGTCTTGGGTCTACATTTTGTTCTCTGATTAGAGTCTAATCATATCTAGATGCACCTTCACTAGACTTATCAGTGTTAGTATTTTTTTTTTAATTTGTGTTTTTTTTTCTTCTATTAGGTCCATTCTGGACACATGTCCTCTTCACCTGGACCCAAAGTAATGGTCTGAAGGTTTATATCAATGGGACCTTCACTGCTGGAGACCTACATGGCAACGTCTCAGGAAACTATGGTGACCCCTATCCTAACCTTGTCATTGGAACGGGCAACAACAAAAAATATGGTCACTATGTAACAGGAGCCTTTGATGAATTCGTCATCTGGGAAAGGGCCCTTCCACCTAATGAGATCCAGGTCTACTACAATGCAGCTATAGGTGGGATATTTTGCTGTCTTGGAAAATGCTTCCTGTCAATCGAGGACAGGACAAGCCTGTTAAAACGTTTTCCCCTGCTTTGACTCTGAGGAAGTCGGGGTAAAAAGTCATTTCCGTTCTTCTGGTCACCACATTGCACATACAACAATTATATTGAAATGTACTCCACCTCCGCTCAATTTCAGTCCAACAGCTCAAATGGCTCTGCCTTTTAAGTGTCTACTCGAGTGCGGAGGCGTGCTGATTTGCAGGAGGCCAATCGTTTCAGGTCAACATGACAAGTTACAACACAAGAGAGCAAAGCAATCGCTCTCTTGACTGTTTCTGTTGTGTTTGTCTCCTCTGGTCAGTGGAGTGCCATAAATGGAGATGCAATTGACATTTATGAGAACTTAGAAACACTGACGTTCTGCTGAGTGATAATCCAAATTAGGAAATTTTTACAACGGTCTGAGAAATGTTTGAGGCAAGAAGAAATTTTACTTTTTTTTTTGCATCAAAGCAAAATCCTTTTTGTCTTGCATAAATCACAGATTTTTTTAAAGAGAGTAGTATGTGTGAAGTATTTCTGATGGATGTGGATGYACTGTATGAAGCATTTGACAAAGGCCTTATCCCCACTAACTGAATTTATCACTAGCAATATGCTTCACAGACTATTTCTTGACTCAAAGTGCTCGACTGTTATTGTTACAGAAAAATATATTTGTTACGTCTCTGAAGCACTCCTATAAAATGTTACACCAAGCTAAAAAAAGAGCAGAAATTATTCACGATGATTTTCCTGATGCACACCCATACATGGCCATCGCATGATAGTTTGTCAGGGTTGTTTTTATTAAATGGCAGCTACGACATAAAAGTTAGTCCTAGACAAGTGTTGGAGGCTGTGTGTTGTGTGGTTGATTATCAGTGTTTTGTGAAAGTTGCAAGTCTTTGGATCTGGAGTATGTTCTTTTATGACTGGGGATAGTGTCAGAGTGGAAGCTTTATGCTGATAAAATCCAGCCACAGTGCAGCAGCCTGTCCTGGGAAGGTTCAACACTGCACCAAATAAAATAACTAAAAGAACAGTTATCTTTACTAAAAAAAATGCACATTTAAAAGTTTTGAGCCTGTTTGTCTTATCCCATTTCAAACAGATACTTTTTACTTTTTTTTTAGGCCAGGAAATAATTTCCACCACAACACTGAGAAACTTCAAAGAACTCCCTTCAACTGCACCGACAACTGTAAGTCTGCAAACTCTGACTTTATAATGTCACCACTCGTAGTTGAATGTTGGACAATCACGTTTTTGCCTCTGTCTGTGTGTGTATTTCTTTGTCTGGTAGCAAAACAACTCATGAACCAGTGAATGGATTTTAATGAAAGTAATTGTTGGACGTACAGCATGTTTAGTTAACCTGATTCAAGACGGCTGTTTGAGACACACCTCAGAAAAGGGGTGAAAAAGGGCTTGTAAAGTTAAAATCAGGAGGAATTCAGAAACAAGCAGTTCCACTTCACATAGACCCCGACTGAATGATTTAAATGTAAAAAATAAGGATTTAAAAGCATGATATGTCTGCTTTGGCAGAGAAGCAGCAATCAATATGTAATTCTTTGAGGAATACCTCCTTCAATTTTGAAAGCAACCAGATAAATTGTGATGGCTAAATAAATCTGTGTGTCACATGCATGTGCTATTTACTGTAGTTTTGGTCCTAAAGGCAGCAATAAAATAAAATAAAATAAAATAAATAATTACAAGACCATTACAGGGCTTTTGCCTAAATGTGCATACCACATTATTTCTTGTTGTGACGTTGTTTTCTTTTATCAGCAAACAGGAAGAAGTCTAAGAACATGTGAAGAAATCTGTTTATTAAAACAGGAATTAGATTATTATAAAGACAGCTGTTCCACACTACAAAAATGACTATTCCACTGAAAAAGAGCAACTTTCTGAATTAAAGGAAATAAGTAATTTGTAGAACTCAGCGCTCCGTTGGTCGCCTCGTAATCGCAAACCTCCTTGGATTTGTTGTGTCCTCAGGGAGCCTCTGAAGTGAGTCCACCTGTCATCAACAGGCATCAAGAGGTGGCCCAGCGCTCCCACATCCAGGACACCATTCCAGTGCTGGACTTCCTCAAGACACTGTCCAATGGGACAATTCCTCACAACACTGCCAACAACCTCACACAGGTCCTGGAGCGTGTTAAAGTTTCGAAACCCATTTCACACACAGACACAATGCCCACCCATGTGCACATGATGCAGCGGTTCCATGATGTCCGTTTTCTTCCATCCAGGCTTTTCTCAAAAGCGTGGAAGAAGTCCTGTCCTCTCCGGGACTGCCAGAGGTAAATGAGTTCACACTGTTGCTGTGGAATGTCCAAACATGACAAAATATAGCATATGCAGTTTGATTTAAAGCCAAGGCACTGAGGCAGTCAGTGCAGCTTCTTAAACGCTGCTTATTTTTGGCGCCTAAAACAGTAACAGTATATGGCAGAGTTCCCGTACATTATTACCATCTGTAATCAAACAGAGTGCTGCTATGTGCATTCTCCAGGACTTAAAGGGTTTTACAACACAATGCCTTCAAAGTAAATTGGCAGCTTCCTGTCTTGTACACTGGCCCTGCTCGAATCTCTATGTTCTCTTGCTTAAATATTTTTTATGTGCTTTCAATGCACTGGGTGCTCAGAAAAAACAGCATTTTTATTTTTGTTTTACAAGGTCAAACTAAAACACATGTTCCTGTCAACTATGAAGAGTATTTACAGTGAGCATTACACAATGTACTAAAGCCTGTCAAGTTATGGGACAGTTCAAAAGGAAAACTTAGACGTAAACTATGAGACTTACTGTAATTATCCATCTTTCCTGTTTAATTTTGTTTATTTTTTCTCTGTTCATAAAATTTGTGCTTTTTTTGTCAATTAAATATGGAAACTTTCAGCTCGTTAAGAAGAAAGACATTATACAAAATACTGTTATTTGCTTGTTTTCATCCCTCTAGTTTCAGGGGTTCTCAAACCCCTTACAACAGCGATAAAAATTCCAGGGACCCCCTCATAAACCCCTTGCTGTTTTAAAAGATAATTTATTGTCATTTCAACCCCTAAATGCCATGGGAATTTATATTTTTATTTAGTTTGTTGTGTTTGATTTATTAGTTCATTGTTCTTCATGCATTTTTTAAAAATAAAAACCAAATTAACGATTTAGTGACATTTTTTGAGGACCCCCAAGATAACTCTCGCAGACCCCTGGTGGTCCTGGGACCCCAGTTTGAGAACCTCTGGTTTAGACGTTACAATATTTGGTTTTATTCCTCATTAACTTTTATGTTTTTTAAATATTTAACAATATTGCCTTTTTTGTCTCGTAGAAGGACATTAAGATATTTTCAGTTCTTTTAAAAACATTTCTGCTTCTGCTTTCAACATACTTGCTCTCATCTGACTTTTTAAGCTACTTTTAGGTTTTTTGTAACATACTGGTACTTTTGTCTAGCTTTTTCACAATTTTTAGCTTTTAGCCAACCTCTTGCTGCTTTTAACCTCTAGCTAGCCTTTTGGTACTTTTAGATAGCATTTTGTTACTTTTCATTTATACCTAGCTTTCTTCTACGTTTAGCTTTTAGAGATTGTTTGCTACTTTTAGCTCTTAACTGCTTCTTTTAGTCTTTAGCCAGTGTTCTGTTCCTTATAGTTTTCATAACTTTGTTTTAGTTTCTTCATAAAATTTCAGCAGACATTCATCTTTCTGCATTCTCACTGCATTTTTGTATGAAACTAATATTATATACAGTATTATATATACACTCACCGGACACTTTATTAGGTACACCACGCCAGTAACGGGTTCGACCCCCTTTTGCCTTCAGAACTACCTCAATTCTTCGTGGCATAGATTCAAGAAGGTGCTGGAAGCATTCCTCAGAGATTTTGGTCCATATTGACATGAKGGCATCACACAGTTGCCGCAGATTTGTCGGCTGCACATCCATGATGCGAATCTCCCGTTCCACCACATCCCAAAGATGCTCTATTGGATTGAGATCTGGTGACTGTGGAGGCCATTTGAGTACAGTGAACTCATTGTHATGTTCAAGAAACCAGTCTGAGATGATTCCAGCTTTATGACATGGCRCATTAACCTGCTGAAAGTAGCCATCAGATGTTGGGTACATTGTGGTCATAAAGGGATGGACATGGTCAGCAACAATACTCAGGTAGGCTGTGGCGTTGCAAAGATGCTCAATTGGTACCAAGGGGCCCAAAGAGTGCCAAGAAAAGATTCCCCACACCATGTGACACCACCACCAGCCTGAACCGTTGATACAAGGCAGGATGGATCCATGCTTTCATGTTGTTGACGCCAAATTCTGACCCTACCATCCGAATGTCGCAGCAGAAATCGAGACTCATCAGACCAGGCAACGTTTTTCCAATCTTCTCTTGTCCAATTTCGATGAGCTTGTGCAAATTGTAGCCTCAGTTTCCTGTTCTTAGCTGAAAGGAATGGCACCCGGTGTGGTCTTCTGCTGCTGAAGCCCATCTGCCTCAAAGTTCGACGTACTGTGTGTTCAGAGATGCTCTTCTGCCTACCTTGGTTGTAACGGGTGGTTATTTGAGTCACTGTTGCCTTTCTATCAGCTCGAACCAGTCTGCCCATTCTCCTCTGACCTCTGGCATCAACAAGGCATTTCCGCCCACAGGACTGCCGCTCACTGGATGTTTTTTCTTTTTCGGACCATTCTCTGTAAACCCTAGAGATGGTTGTGCGTGAAAATCCCAGTAGATCAGCAGTTTCTGAAATACTCAGACCAGCCCTTCTGGCACCAACAACCATGCCACGTTCAAAGGCACTCAAATCACCTTTCTTCCCCATACTGATGCTCGGTTTGAACTGCAGGAGATTGTCTTGACCATGTCTACATGCCTAAATGCACTGAGTTGCCGCCATGTGATTGGCTGATTAGAAATTAAGTGTTAACGAGCAGTTGGACATGTGTACCTAATAAAGTGGCCGGTGAGTGTATATTTGAGGGGGCACAGGCCACCTAATTTAAATGTTTTTTTTCTCTAAACTTAAGTTGTGAACCTTAAATATTTATGTAAAATAATTTGGAAGCTAGATGCCGTTTTAACACAAACACAAATTAAACATGTATTTTTTGAAAGAAACTGACAGGAGGTTCCTGTAATGTGAATATACGTATGTGTGTATGATGATGATGAAAAGCAGCTGACAGTGAACATTTTCTGGATGTGTTGTTGAGCAGCAGCCCACCCCGGTGGTCAGCAGTCTGATCGAGACAGTGGACAGAGTGATGGAACAAATGGTGATGAACATGGAKCCCACCTCCAACTCCCTCTTTTCCCTGGGTGGAACATCTTCGGTTGCAGGTCAGAGATGAGTCAGCTCAGTGCTCCAACTCAGTCGGTGGGATTTTTCCACCCTAACCCTTATTTGCTTCTTGACTTGTTTTCCCTCAGTATCTCTTAATTGTCTTTCTCCAACAGATTACTCTCTGATGAAATTATCTCAGAACAACTTACAAAATTACCGCTTCCCCACACAAGGGAGGAGCTACATATTTGTGCCTGGGGAGGCATTTGCCATGGAGAGTAAGTGTCTGTACGTCTTTTAGCACAAGAGTCTTCTGAGAGGAAACTGTCCAGTTGTACACATAAATAATTAACTGAATTATATTTGACAAACAGGAATTTCTCAGTTCATATAAATCTACAAGGAGAGTCAAAATCCATATGACACCTTTTTATTTTGACCCACTATGGCCACTTTTGAGATAGGGCCCATGTTCTGAGGCATTCAGATATGTCATTTTCACTTTTTTCTTGAAATAAAAGGGTGTCCTGTGATTTTTGACTCGCCCTGTATGTTCTTCTGCTGCAGCATAATGTTCCTCAAGGCACCAACATGGGCCCAGTCCTGTTTTCGTTATCTATTTTGCCTTTAAGATCCATTTTTAGAAAGTGTGTGTTCTCTTGCTTTGCAGATGGTTTTCTGATATATTTGATAGTAAAGCTAAGATAAACGACAAGCAATGAAAATGTCTGGAGTGTTAGATTAAACTGCATAGCCATTGATCTGACTGTATGGAAGAGTTCCCTCTGTATTGCTGCAACATGTTGCCAACCAGAAATGAGTTGGGTAAAAAAAAAGGTGGCATGTGAAGAGGAGGAATATACAGTAAATAGAGGTGTGTTCAGAGCATAAAACAAACTGAACTGGCTCTAAAAAGAACTAGTCTTACTTTTGAAAACTTTTTTTAAAATGTGATCTAAAATTCAAATAATTTAAAAAGATCAGTCCTCTCTTCACAGGTGGGACAAAATGCTTTTAACAAGAAAACATGAGCAGATAACCCCAGCGTTGACTTCATTACATGGATTTCCTGTCCATTAGAGGTTTAATTTTTTTAAGATGTTATTGTTAGGTTTTATGGATCCATTTTATTTTTCCAGGAATAATTGACATAATGTCCCACTTTATCTAGAACACTGAAGTCTAACAATATTTTTTAGTCAATTAGATGTTCCAAAATTTAAAAAAATGGAAGAGTTGTGGTGATGTGGGGAATATTTTCCTTCTCTATATAAAATCTACTCTGAGCTTTAAAAACTGTAAACACTTTTAGAGACCAACTTTTACTGGCTTGTGTTTGTTTTTTTTGTTTTTTTTAGTTTTGATGGAACTATTTGTACTAATTCTTAAGCTTTTCTTCTTGTACACCACTTTGGTGATTCTTTTAGTGATTATAAATCTATAAATTAAAACTACATTCAGTGAGATTTAAGAGATAATTAACAGCAATAAAGGACAGGGATGTGAGCTTTTACTGTATTTGTCTGTACAGTATTTTGTAGAAACCATCCTGATTTCAGTGTTGTCCTCTTTTCTTCCAAGCAGAAAGAAAAAAAAAGGATAGTTCACCTTTTCCACTTTCCTCTATCATTAAAAAGAATGGAGCCACATGTTCGACTGAAGGAGAGGAACAGTAACTGTAGGCATAAAAAAAACTCTGACTTCAGAGGCTCTGGCTGCTCCATGCATTGTTCTGGCATACAAATAATAAAATAACCTGTTTAAATCATTAATTTAGGGATTAGAATCACACTAAATGGTATTAGAGCTTGGACCAAATTATCTCATAGCCCTGAATACTTGGTGCTACAAAGTTCTCAGAGGGTTGCTATTATCTCCAAATTAAGCTCTAAGGATGTAAAACCTCAATCTGCTTGTTTTTTTAATAATTATTATTATTTTAACATTTTCTTGCAAGAACAGAACCACCACACACTCCCCTGTAAGGAGGCCCTCTATTGAAATGATTTTTCTATCAACTCTCACACACATTTCCTTGACCTAAGCTTTTGTTGTCCTTGTCAGCGGGGATCAGCTTGAAGGCCTTTTAACCAAGGAATAAGGCCATTAAGGATTTCCTCTTGGTTCGTTTTTTTTTTACCTTGCAACATTTTGATAGGACCCAGCTGAACGATAGGTCAAATCTGGGGAGGAGGGGGACCAGACCTCCTGGAGTCCCTCAGTGAAGTCATGTAGTTGTTTCATAAGTTTTTTTTTCCAGTATCCATGTGGTTTATGGCTCTCTCCCTTTCACCCTCGTGAGAGTCCTGGTTCTATTAGAGTCCCAGTGTGCTCTGGCGAAGCTCTGCTAATTAACTTCCCTTCTTTGTGAGCATTTTAGCAGCCTTGTTGTACATTCCTCTCACACTCAACCTCCGTGTGTTTTCCTCTCCTCAGCGCAGACCACCATCGTCGGCCTCTACTACCACAACATGCACAAGTACTACAAAGAGATCAGCCCTGTCAAAACCAGGTAAGAAGACAGGGGGTGGGGGAGGGGGCGCATTGTCCTGTGGGAACCGTGTCCAGTGGCGCCCATGCTTCCTGAACCTCAGAGCAGCTGTAGCCAAGAGCTTATCTGTCCTTTTTTGCCTATCTCTCATCTCAGCACTCAACATCCACTGACTGATACACCCTGCTATTAGAGCAACATATCTGTCCCCGTCCTCGCTCCCGCCCTCTCAGCTATTGTCACATCACTGGATCAGCGTGTTCCAGCTCCACTGCAGCAATTATGGTTATCAAACACGGTGAAACCGAGATTGAGCAATCTGTATTTTTCCTCCCACATTTTACTTCAGAAAAATTTGAGACAAAAGGAAAATATGTATACAGCAGCACGTTTGAAGATGTTTTGGACCCACCGCTGAGCTCCTCTGTTTCTGACGAGATTCTTGCTGCTTTCAAATGTCCAATTTTAAATAATCTTGGAAAAACTGGTGCTTTTTATGCTGGTTGTCAGCTTAATCCATTGAACATAGAAACGGTCAAAATACCATCTGAAAGTCTTCTAAATATTTTCTTTTAAAGGAAATGTGTAAATTGCTTTACATATACTCAACTTGGTTTAGTAGAACCAGTTACTTTGGTAAAGTAAATTCAATCCTTCATATTTTAGAGTGCATAAACAACTCCTTTCATGATGAGTTCTGGTAGTATTTAAATTTGTAGATTTTAACGAGGTGTTAAATTTCGAAGTAAAGTAAAAGTTTTATTTCTATGTTTTGAATGAAACAAAATAAGAATAAAAGGTACAATAAAAAAAATCTTGGTAAAATTCCCATTACCAGTGGTGGGATGTAACAAAGTACAAGTACTTTGTTGCTGTACTTAAGTTCATTTTTCATGTATCTGTACTTTACTTAAGTAGATTTCATCATGGGTACTTTTGACTTTTACTCCACTACATTTTGCATTAAGTACATATCTGTATTTTCTTAGCCTGGCCCTTGCCTTCCTACGCAGCTCCGCTCAATTCTAGTTTCCCTTCTCCGCTCCGTCTGGGACTTCTCCCATTGAGATGGATTTCGCTGGCAGGTTTTTAGCCGGGCCAATCAGAGAAGAGAACGTCAATTTTCTGTGCAGTGTCTGCTTGTAGTTTATTTTACCTGGGCCAATCAGAGAACAGAACCTCAATTTTCTGCGCAGTGTCTGCTTGTAGTTTATTTTACCTGGGCCAATCAGAGAACAGAAGGAGGAGCTTTGAACGACGTCGTCTTTCTGTGCAGTGTCTGCTAGTTATTTTAGCATATGGCAGTAGAGGAAGTGAATGAAGCCAGTCTGTGTTGACAAGGTTTCAAATTAAATTAAATTTGTCTGACAAAGCAGCAGCTCTCATTTACAGTCGTCTCGTTCGGCTCGGTATATTTCTCCTCTCAGTAGGGTTGTTTACAGTGCACGCAATTTCCGGTTAGCTTCTTAGCTTAGCCTCCGTCACAGCGACATACGTGGCAGCGAACTGATACAATCATTTTAAACTTCAGCAGAGGCCACGCCTCCTGCAAGAATCACTTGTCTATATATCAAGTCCAGATCCTTGTACGAAGCAAAGTGAAGGACAGGGTCTGGTTTAAACCAGGCTAGTACTTTCTACTCCACTACATTTCTGTAATGAATTGAATTACAAATTACATTCATGTCATGTAGCTTTACTTTTTTTGCTATTGTTGCTTGTTTGTTTTGTTTATTTTAAAGTAATCAGTAGCAAAAGGGGAATTGCTGTAATTGGTCCATTGAACCACTGCAACACAGAAAAGTACTATTAGAACCTCCTTTAATAAAAGCGGCGAGATTCCGCATCACCTGCTGGAGCAGCAGCAGCAGCACGCTCAAACTGGATTCCACCATGGAGGAAGTGCCCCACTCATGGCCTTATTTAAAAGACTTATTCAAGTTAACTGGTTTAAAAAAGAATAAATGATTTGATAAAGGACGGTGTCGAATTTACAGCTTCTGTAGCTGTTGTCACAATCTCTGATGATGCACAGAATCACAAGTCCAAGTGTGTACAGTGTCACAGAAGGCAAACACAAAAACATGCATTATCTGCACCGTTGTTCACTAAAACCATTGATGTATTAAAAATATACATACAGTAGGCACACTTCATGATATTGTAGACCATTAGGGAATACATTAAGCAAGTACTTTTACTTTTAATACTTTAAGTATTTTTAAAAGCATGTACTTACTTTCAGTCACGTAAAAATGTTAATGTGGTACTTTTACTTTTACTAGAGTACGTTTTTGTCTGTTTATCTGTACTTTTATTTAAGTACAGTGTTTGAATACTTTCTCCACCACTGCCAATTATCAATTACTTATGTACTGTAACGATGTAAAGATACTTCATTACTATTCCCCGTTTTCCTTCAAAGAAGTGAGGAATGAAGTCGTTTATCTGTGTTTTATTGACTTTCTTTTTTTCCTTTTTGTCTCACAGGATTAATGAAGCTTCTGTTTACAAGAATCACAACATCCAGGTAGCGAGCTGTCTGATTTCTCTGAAAGTGGAGCCTTTACCAGCTTTGTCAGTCAACCTCTCTGTGGCGCCGCTCATAAAGATCGTCCTCACCCATGTCCTGGTAAATATGAGTCTATGCCACATCCAGATTCTTCCTCTTTGACTCATGTCTTTATCAGCCGTTTGGGCTCTCTGTGAATGGGTCCAACTGGGAACACTACTGAGTGTTTTTACTATTAGTAGTTTGTGAGACACCCACCTTTATCAGAGGGTAGGCATGTGACTAACATGGGTCGGATGCCTCCGTGTGAAATCTATCAGCCCTGTTTATGCTGCTCACTTATGTAAGAAAACAAGCGTTTTTTTAACAGATTAAGGCTCGTGCAGCTGGGCTTTTAGCTGCAGAGAGAGCAAAGTCTGTTCATTTTTTTTCTCATCCCACTTAATTCTTTCTTCAGAGAGCAGGTGGCGTCCAGAAAGCAAACTGATTAAGGAAATTTGAATTTTAGGCTTAGGGCCGGATTGAAAGAAACAATAACTTTCTTTTATGAAAAACATATATTTTTTTCCTTTCTATGCTTCATGGCAGCGACTGTGGCAGTTTACCATGGTGATTGTTAGTTCAACTCATAATGGAAATTACCTTAAAAGTGTGTCGCTGTGGTCTACAACAAAGCACTGTTTGCAGTGTAGAGATTTTTTTTCTCACCAGAGCTTAAAATCAATTTCTTCTTCTTTGCTTTAATATGTTAGACAGTCATACATGAGGCAGTTAATAAAACCAGCTGGCTGACCCTCCCCACCTGCATACGGTCCTGCTTAATTTAAAAGTCCAGCTAGAACGACTTACTTTCCATTGAAGTAAATTACCGATGTATTTTTTTCCCCCTTCTCATAAAAGCCCAAAAGAAAAGCTCACGCAGTGTCATGAAATCACAATTGTGTTGCTTTGTTTGCCTTTATTTTCCTTGGTGAACTAAAAGTTTCTGCTGTAATTATCTGGCCTGGTTCCTGTTGCAGTGATTTCTCTGTTTGCTTTAGCAGACACCATGGGAGAGACTTTATAATCTTCTTTGTTGCAGGAGTGTGAGTGATGCTCACCAGTCACAAGGGCCTTTCGAGTCAAGGTTCCTATTTTAGTTGGACTACTGTTAATATAAAGATAAATCTTTGTTTTTTTTTTTCTTCATTTCATTTTTTTCTACTTTATGTTGTTGGACCTAATCAGAGCACATGTTGATTGGAATGCACATTGCCAGCCCGTTTCAACTTAACTTAGCTCAGACGATGATTTATGGCGAGGAGTTCTGCTGTAATATGAAACACAACACTGTTTGACCAGGATCATGTCCAGAAACAGCCTGTGTTGCTATAACTGGTTTGCTGCTCATGTTTGTGGTCAGATTTAGTTAAAACGTAACTATTTTTGGAATTTTTGTTATGTTTTTGGAAGCTTGTTTAAAGTTTGAATGAAATGAGGGGGAGTCTTAGTAGTATCAGTACAGTACAGTATCTGATTCATTTACAAAACATTCAAGTAAAGTTTGAAGGTGTTCTGGAAGACAATTAGAATCGCCTGATTAGTTTAAATCTTATTCAGAGATACAGGTACACAGAAAACAACTCTGTCTTACAGCTAAGAGCACAGGGAGGTCCATAACCTTGTCTGCTCAGAACTTGTGAAAATATAAATTTAATGTTTATAAAAATCGCCTAACAAGTCCATTTGAATAATTGTATAACACAGATCTTGTTTTTCCTTTTCCTAAAATTTAATGCTTCACAGGGAGAGGTGGGGAGTGGCAAGGGATTGGGGGATGGGGCCCAGCTTGACTTAGAACTTAGAAAGGAGGGCTTTAGGAAAATAGGTGGGGAATCACTGCCTTACAGCATGAAGGTCTAGGGTTTAAACTTCGGGTGTCCCTCATGCATGCTTGGGTTTTCTTTGGGTGTATCCAGAAACATCCATGTTTGGTTAATTGATTCAATTAAGCTGACCCTAGGAGTGAGTGTGCATGCTTATTTGTTTTGTAAGTCTCTATAGAGGAAACAGCTCTGCAAAACAGAAAATCAGAACATTTCGTCTCTAAGCCTCCTCTGGCTGTTCATAAATCACAGATGGTGTTGTCTAAGGCCCGCACAGACATGAGCTGTCAGAAATGATGTGAGCATCAAGGAGCCAAAAGAGGCRTGAAGCAGAACTCACATGTATTGACGTTGAGCATAACGCTTTAAATGTGTGACAGGTGTCTCCCTCATATCATTTTCAAAACATGATAGCAGTTCTCTTTATAGTTACCTACTCATTTTAACTAAACACAAAATGTTTCTGCCTCAACATTAATTTTTCCTCAGAAATAAATCTGTTGTTTAATTCCATACAAACTGTATGTCATGTTTACCATTTCAGCTAAGTTACTACCTCGCTTTGTGGGACAAAAAGGTGTAAGGGGTGGGGTTGACTTAGACTCTCTTCGCTGTGAGGGCTACATCAGTTCGTTGGTAGTAGGTCAGGTTATCATTGTTAAACCCTTTCAGTTCCAATAAGGGATCTAGATTTTGCAAATTTGCAAAAGTTAGACAAAAGCTCACAATTGGACAATTATGACCTTCAACACCTGCAACAGTTAGTCCACTGTAAACCCAAATTTTCTTTTACATAATAAGTCAAGCTATTATTACCTCTACCAAGTGGGGGAGGTAATGTTTTCGGTTGCGTATGTCTGTCTGTCATTCTGTCGTTCTGTCTGTGGACAAAATTACTCAAAAACTTGTGAACGGATTGTCATGACATTTTTACCACATGTGGGTACTGGCCCAAGGAACACACCATTCAATTTTGGTGATGTTCTGGATCACGATGCGGATACAGGAATTTTTTTCTTTTAATTCAAGTGAATCAGCCGGGCTATGCAAAGTGTCATTATGTCAGATGCATGCCTGTAGAAAAAAGGAAGTAGAAGTCACAAAGTTGCTGGTGGGACTACACCTCCCAGGATGCCTACTATTGACAACATTGTGATTATTCTGTTATCAACTAGTATTGGTGATGTAACATGCTGTCTGGAAACATAGAAAAAGAAATGTGATTCTCTTCACGTTACGGGAATAACTGAGAAGACGCTGACAGCGGGGGGAGGGTCCAGCTGTAGCCGAGCCAAAGCTGGTACCGAACAGCTGGAACAGCTGATCAACCAGGTACCCGCTCCACATAAGAACTTTATTGTGTGATTTGTCAGAAGTTCATGGGAGTGTTTGTTTGTGCTGAAAGCTCTCAGACGCTGACCCGATTGTACCAGGACGCAGCAGTTTATAAAGACAGTCAAACCATTACAAACTCATAAAAGGGGATAAAACAGATGTTTTACACAGTCAAATCTGACAGATGAAAACTTAGGAGCTTAATCCGGGACCAGTTTGTGGATGAATAACGTTGGGTGACGAGTCTCAGACTTGTTTTTTGCATTGAACACCACCGGAATGAAATCCCGTGCATACTGCCTGCTTAAATGTTCACTACGTCAGAACTTATTCGGCAAATGTGTTTCCATCTCTGCTTTGGTGGAGGTTTGCACTTAGAGTGCTTCTAGTTACTAATCTTTTCATGTTTTTGCAAAAGGCAGGACCATTACTTAACAAAATGTGTTTTGTAAACTACTCAAAACAAGTTTTTGCTCTTCTAATGGCTCTGAGCAGAGATAACTCATATTTACATGTTTTTACTGGTTTTGGGAGGGGCTTGTCAGTCACCTGACCATTGTTTGCCAACACAAAGAGGAATAAGAAAATTAGCAGAGCTCAATACATGTTTCTTATGACTGTGTTGGCTGCATGGTTGCTGACTGCATTGTTTCTGTTGCATTACAATGATTCCTGGCCATGATTTTTACTTGGTAGTTTAGCTGTGTTAGTTTGTTCAGTTTGTTCCTTTTTTTTTAACTGCCTCATTTGATTGGTGCAGAGCCTGTGAGGGATCATGGGTAATTTTTCTTTTCTTTTCCATTCCCTCACAAAAATTGTGTATTGTCTTGACCAGAGGTGCCCAAAGTGGGGCCCGCGGGCCAAAATTGGCCCGCCTAGCCATTTGATTTGGCCCACCAGCAGTTGTTCTGGTTATTAGATTGTAATTATGCTAAGATTAAATATAAAATACAAGTTACTACAAGAGATATTTAGATTAGATTTAAGCCCATATATAGATTTGCACACCTTATAAGACCACATATATTCAAATTTTAAATTATGAAAAGTCCCATGAGTCTTTGCTGCCTGAGCATAAGTTGAATTTTCTCCATGTCCATGGGCTGAAAAAAAATAAACTAAAGAATGTGGACAACCACACTGGCTGCTAGCTTAATCATAAAAAATAAAACAACTTTATTTAAGTATTAAGCATTTCTTATGTTATTGCATTTGGCCCGCGGCCCTCAGATTGATTTTAATTTTGGCCCTCTCAGGGAAAATGTTTGGGCACCCCTGGTCTTGACATTTTATAAAAGCAGCACACATGACAGCATAAATTGACTTATTCTTGTTCTGTCATTATTCAAGATGATTTGTTGTAATTCAGTGGTTTCATTCACTAATAGCAAGCCTGAAAACCTTATTACTAATTTGGGTTTACAGTGTAACAGTATGATTAAATAAAGTGTAAATAAAGAAAAAAAACAACACAAAATCATTATATACAAGCCTGTGTATATTTAGAGTTTTAGATAAGGCCAGTTTGGCACCCTATGCAAGATGTCTGGTGGTGCCTCTTGTGCAATTTTCTAATACACACGGCGTCTTCTTCTAAATTTACTTTAGAACCATCTGAAATCCCTTTTCAGACAAGTGTTCAGGGAGTTCATTAAAACCCTCTGGAGGTCTGAAAAAAAATTTCTCACCCTTGTTGATCTTTTCACGCTGCCTTGGTTACAACAACCACCTACAGCAGTCAAATCATGGAATGGACCCAAATCTCAATTTTCTTTAACTGACACTTTGTTTGACAAAAGCATGCCCGACCTGAGACTGATGGAATCACCAACCTGTAAATAACATTGTGTCATGGCAGGTAGTCCATTAAGCTGAGGTCAAAGCTACGTGCTTGATGTCAGGATGACCTTGTACTCCTGA